AGCAAAGCCCAGAGCACAGAGCTCAGCACAGAGCTGATGTCCACAGCTGCCAGTCCAGTCCTGGCACCTCTGCCCTGTCATCCCTGGGAATGAGCCAGCCAGCCTCTCCTCTCCCCAGGGATGTGCAAGGAAGGAGATGTTTCCGTGTGGACCCTGAGCCCTCACTCCCAGTGCCCCTTACCTTCTGCTGGTGGCAGCTCCTTCCCCTCGCAGGTGCTGATGAGCCCCATGAGCACAAGGGCCCAGAGACCCCTCATGGTGCCCACAGCAGTGGCTCAGGGCTGATACAGCTGCCTGAAAGGGAGAGATATTGGATGGGCACATGGTGGGCACTGGCACATGGTGGGCATCAGCCCATGAGGATTCCCACGCTGGGATCCTGCCAGCAAAGCCAGCAGCAAAGAGTTGGTGCAGACTGTCTTGGCCATGGCTCGGTCAAGTTTTGGGGGTCACATCCACTGCTGGATCCCCCATCTGCTCCACACCCACCCCAAACACACAGGGCAAGCCCCAGCATCCCAGCATCCATGGGTTCAGTCCAGCCCCAGCATTTCCTCCAAACATCTGGAAACGTGAAGGCTGAGGCTCCTCAGAGCGGAACTGGGTGTCTCCTACACGGACAGGAGGTCTCACTCCCTCCTATTTTATCCCTCCCTTGCTCCCTCCTATTTTATCTCCTGCTGCTGTGTGGATCCCGGGGTGTCCCAGTCCTTGTAGGTCACCCCAAACTGGCCTCACTCCTCCTTCCTGCCACGAGGCAAGGCTGAGCTGCGTGCAGGGAGTGGGGACAGACGGGACACACTCGGCTCTGCTGGCTGCAGCCAGAGCTGGACGCGCATCCCTGAGCCTTCATCCCACGCACAGCACCCGGAGACCCTCGTGAGTGGGGACTTCTATGAGCAGGGACCCCCGTGAGCAGGGATCCACCTCTCTCCTGCCTCTGGCTCCCCTTCCCTGGGCTCTCTCACATCCCCCAGCTCTTCTCTGCGTGCGAATCAGCCTCCTTGTCCCGAATCACAACTCTTGCACCTCCCTGCTCTGCTCTGCTGCCTCCTCTACTCCGGCACTGCCTGCTCCCACTGTTCCCACTGCTGCTCCCACTGCTCCCACTCCTGCTCCCACTGCTCCCACTCCTGCATTC